AGATTAGGAAAATGAAGCAAAAAAAGTCAATTTGATCAAAGGGCATAGTGAGTAATATTACCTTAGGCCCATAAAGTCCATCCATCTTCCTCCCACACACACCATTAAGCACTCAGGGTAACCCAGAAGGTGCTACTAGACTTCCAGGGAGCTTAGCCTTGATTGTTCACAATTTTTTCACTTTTCCATAAGAGAGGATTACAAGATATAATCCAACTAGCATTGATTCCTGGGTTAGGGATATTATCTCATTTGATCCTCATAATAGCTCTGCAAAGTAGGAACTATTGGCTCAATTTCCTTTTTTTTTTTTTTTTTTTTTTTTTTGAGACAGAGTCTTGCTTTATCGCCCAGGCTAGAGTGCAGTGGTGTGATCTCAGCTCACTGCAACCTCTGCCTCCCCGGTTCAAGCAATTCTCCCTGCCTCGGCTTCCCGAGTAGCTGGGATTACAGGTGCCTGCCAACGCACCTGGCTGATTTTTGTATTTTTAGTAGAGCCGGGATTTCGCCATGTTGGCCAGGCTGGTCTTGAACTCCTGACCTCAGCTGATCCGCCCGCCTTGGTCTCCCAAAGTGTTGGGATTACAGCCATGAGCCACCATGTCTGGCTGCCTAAGTTTTCTCAGTCAAGAAAATGGGTCTCAGTGATCTGTAGCAAAGGTAAGGTGGAAAGCCTAGGTTTGCACTCGGGCTCTGTGAAGGGATTTGAGGTGACACTGGTCACACTCTTAGTATAGGGCTGTCACACAGGAGAAGCATGGACAATGGCTCAACATCACTGTCCTCCTCCCGCATCTCCACTGCTCATGTAGGGCCACACCGCTGGCAAGCCTGAGCGTGCATGCCAAGACTTTTGATGCTAACTCCCTAGGCTTTCCACTTTTCAATTATGTTGAAGTTAATCAGCTGGCTTTTGAAGGCCTGGCCTCCATCTCATCAAAATCAAAGTGTGCGTACTTGATGGAGGTTATGAGACCATCAGTGGTTGCATGTGTGTGTGACACATCTCAGGAAGTCGTAGGAGACATCCCTCTGATGGGCTGGGTCCCTGTACCAGCCCCTGGTTCCCAATCACTGGCTTTGAGAAATGTTGAGAACACATATGTGGTTGGCCCTGCAAATCAAGTAAAGGCAGGAAAAAAGAGATGAGTTGATGACTCAAGGCCATTCCAGCTTCAGAATTCGTCAAGAACAAGATGAGTCGTTTGCTGATCCCGAGTGACCAGGGTAATTCTGGGATGGCACTTAGTAACCCAGGGTCTCATAGATATTTCTGTAACATCGACTTGAGTGCCCTTCTTGTGTATTTCAGTGGATTAGTACTTGTGTAGTTCAGAGGATTAGTACCATCGGTCCATCACAGAGTAACAACCAGGCTTACTATGCATCCAGCTTTGGGGGATACCATAAGACATGGTCCTTGGGCTCCAGGGAGCTCCCAGTTCTCACTGTAGGAACAAGAGGGCAATCTGGAGGGCAAACAAGAGTCCCCTCTCTTTTGGGAGCTTGGCTGTGGGTTGCTCTGGGTAACAGTGGGTCAGTGTGAGCTGGTGCAGACAGGGGATGGCTCCCAAGTGCTCTTCATGCATTGCATCATTTAGTCCTCACAATTACCCCTACAGTGGGTAATTTTTTTTTTTCTTTTTTTTTTTTTTTTTTTGAGACAGAGTTTCGCTCTTGTTACCCAGGCTGGAGTGCAATGGCACGATCTCGGCTCACCGTAACCTCCGCCTCCTGGGTTCAAGCAATTCTCCTGCCTCAGCCTCCCGAGTAGCTGCGACTACAGGCAGGTGCCACCATGCCCAGCTGATTTTTTTTTGTATTTTTAGTAGAGATGGGGTTTCACCATGTTGACCAGGATGGTCTCGATCTCTTAACCTTGTGATCCACCCACCTCGGCCTCCCAAAGTGCTGGGATTATAGGCGTGAGCCACCGCAGCCGGCCTGGGTAATTCTATTTTTATCACCATTTCACAGATGGGGAAACTGAGACAAAGGGAGATTAGGTAACTTGCACAGTCAGACACCTAACAGGTACCAGAGCTCAGATTCAAATCCAGGCAAGCTGGAAAGCCAGAGCCAATGCTCTTAGCTCCTACTCCTGCTCCATCATCCTAGAGGGGCTCAGCTAATCCTCGAAGGATGACGGATTTTAGGGAGGCAAAATACTAAGAAGTGTGAGCTCCACGGATCTGAGTTTGGTAGTACTGGCTGTGTGACTTTAGACAACTTACCAAAGGTCTCTGAGTGGAAGTTTCCTCATCTGGTAAATGATGATATCCTCTTCTATACAGAGTGGTGTGACTGAGATAATGTGTTTAGTTAGAGAACAGTGCAAAGAGTGTGATGATGATGATGATGATGATGACAATTGTTATAAACGGAGAGTGGGAAAGTCAGGTACAGCGGACCATGTCCAGCATCACGGATGAACACGGACTATATGTGGTGGTTGAAAAGGTGGCAGGGAAGGAGTTGGGGGAGCTACCATGTGGGATGGGTGTAATAGGTGAGTGGGAAATAACAGTTGGCTGGAAAGCATGAGGCCAGGTCGTTGAGGACCTTGAAAACTACCCTAAAATACTCTACAGCTCTTCAAAACGGCAAGTGTATGGACTTTGTTGACATATGGAAATGTGTGTTTGGGAAAAAAAATAGAATGCAGAATAGTATGTACAAACTGACAGCTGTGTAAACATATTATAGTCTGTTAAAGCTTAGCGATCAGAAAGGCGTCTGCAGAGCTATAAATATTCACGTTGAGGCTGGGCACAGTGGCTCATACCTGTAATTCCTGCACTTTGGGAAGCCGAAGTGGGTGGATCACTTGAGCTTGGGAGTTCAAGACCAGCCTGGGAGATGTGGCGAAACCATTCTCTAAAACATATACAAAAAATTAGCCAGGAATGGTGAGACGCATCTATAGTCCCAGCGACAGATGGGTAGATTGCTTGAGCCAGGGAGATTGCGGCTGCAGTGAGCCGTGATTGCACCACTGCCCTCCAGCTTGGGCAACAGAGTAAAACCTTGTCTCAAAAAAAAAAAAAAAAAATTCAAGTTCATCACTTTTTATTTTCTATAAATACCTAATGAAAACTAAGAATACGCAGGAGGCCAGGCTGAGGAGTTTGGCTTTTCACCTGTGGACTTCCATGGTGATTCACTGCAGATTCTATTTGTTTTGCTTTGTCGTTCTCATTGAGATGGAATTCATGTACAGTCAATCCTCCCTATTTGTGGATTCTGTATCTGCAAATTTGTTTAGTGGCTAAGATTTATTTGTAACCCCAGAATCAATGTTTGCGTCGCTTTTGTGGTCATTTGCTGACATGCACAGAGCAGTGAACATTTTGAGTTGCTCAATGCACACATTCCCAGCTGGACAAGAGGGTCCTTCACCTTCTTGTTTTAGCTATCATACATAAACAAGTGTCTTTTTCTGTTTAGCGTCATGTATTATAGTGCTATTGGCCATGAGTTCAACGTTAACCAACCAACAAAATATACTAAAGTGTCTTTAAGCAGAAACACAGCTAAAACGAGATTATGGTTTTGTATTGATCAGTTGACAAAAATCTTGTGACCAGGGGCTCATAAGCACCTAACCCTGTATTTCTCCTAGGAGCAATGGGTCAGTATTTACTAATAACATGTTCATTGCAACTTTATGTAACATAAATATGATAAACAATGAGGATTGATTGACCACAAGATTCACTTTTTAAAATCACCCTTTAATATTTTGGCATATGCACAAAGTTGTGCAACTATGACCATCACTGCAGATTTTCAAGCAGTAAAATGGCCTCAGAGCATCAGTTTGAGAATTACTTGTCTTTCTCTGTCCTCTGATTTCTTTCTGGTCTCTTTCAGAATGCCCAGGAAAACCATGGGCTGGCTGTACCCACGCCCTCAGTTCCAGAAGACTTTGCAGACAAAGAAGTGACAGGTAAGTGAACCCTGGGCTAGGGGCTTGTCCATCTTTCTTTCCTCCTAGGGCCCTGAGTTCAAAAGCCAAGCATCTGCCCCTCGTCACAGCTGGTGACAAAGCCAGAGTCACCCAGGCACAGCCACTCTCAGGCTTCTTAGTTACTGGCTGCAGTGGGCACAGGCAGTGGGGCTGGGAGTTGAGGACAGCCAGGGTCAGCAAGGGCCCCCTTTTGGTGGGGAAAGGGTGGCAAGGGGACAAGGCCAGAGTAGGAACAACTGCAGCATCAAGTGGGAGAAAGGCATGGCTTTGAATCCCAGCTCCCCACATACTCACTTTGCTCCCTTGGGCAGGACGCTTCAGCCCTCCTACCTCTGTATCTTCCAGTGAACAATGAGAACAACAGTTCAGTTTGGAGGCGTAAATGAAGGGGTGGATGGGATGTAAGTCATGTCTGTCACACCTCTCAGAGGTGCTCAAAATTTGCCAATGACTTCCCATGTCAATCAGAGAAAAGGTTCTTACAAGGACTGCTGGAGTCTGATCGGAGTCTGGCCACTTTGCCTGCTTTCTTTTCCCTCCCACACTGCCCCCGCTAAAGCATCTTCTGTTTCTCCTGAAAAACCCTAGGCACATTTCTGCCTTGGGGTCTTTGCACTACAGGCCTCTTAGTTTAGAATGCTCTTCTGCGAGGCATCTGTGTGGCATCTCCCTCCTTCCTTCTTTTTTTTGACAGAGTCTCACTCTGTCATCCAGGCTGGAGTTCAGTGGCGCCACCTCGGCTCACTGCAAACTCCACCTCCCAGGTTCAGGCAATTGTCTGCCTCAGCTTCCAGAGTAGCTGGAATTACAGGCACCCGCCACCACGCCCGGCCAATTTTTTTGTATTTTTAGTAGAGACGGGGTTTCACCATTTTGGCCAGGCTGGTCTTGAACTCCTGACTTCATGATCCACTTGCCTTGGCCTCCCAAAGTGCTGGGATTACAGGCACGAGCCACCACACCTGGCCCTTCCTTCTTTGCTCAAATGTCACCTTCTCTGCGAGGCTTTCTCGGACTGCCCTATTTAAATTGCACCTGCTGCACCCCTCCCCTGCTGGCATTTTTTCCCATCGCAACTCATCCCCTAATGTGGTAATAATGTACTCACACATTATGTTCATTGTCCCATTCAAGCATAAACTCCCTAGGAGGACTGGTGTTTGTCTGCTTTTTGTTTTGTTTGGGTTTTTTTGCTGCTGTACCCCAGCTCCTAACTCCTGCCTGACAGTTGGGTGCTCAGTAAATGTTAGATTTCCCCTTTCCCACTCTTGGTTTCTTCATTTTGAAGTCAGGCAGCTGAGAGGAGCCCTTCAGAGCTTCACACTCCCCAGGTTTGCCACACTGTTAGGGACTGAGAGGAAAGGAGCAAAGGATGGGTAACCCTAAGAAGGAAGTAGACGCTGGGAGAGGGGCTGGGGACCAGGTCCAAGGACAGCAGACGGATGTGAGCTGCTGGGGACAGAGGCTCTCAGTATCTCTTAAGCATCCAGATTGTCCAGGCCACCTTCCTTCTGCATACCCCTATTCTATCCTGCAGTCCAGAATCTGCCTGTTATCTATGAGGTGAACAGCCGGGTTCTTAGTAGCTTCAAGGTCTTTGGAAAGCAGAATGCCAGGTGCAGTGGCTAATGCCTGTAATCCTAGAGCTTTGGGAGGCTGAGGCAGGCGGATCACGAGGTCAGGAGTTCGAGACCAGCCTGACCAACGTGGTGAAACCCCGATTCTACTAAAAATACAAAAATTAGCTGGGCGCGTTGGCACACGCCTGTAGTCCCAGCTACTCAGGAGACTGAGGCAGGAGAGGATAATCGCTTGAACCCAGGAGGTGGAGGATGGAGCGAGCCGAGATCGTGCCACTGCACTCCAGCCTGGGCGATAGACTGAGACTCTATCTCAAAAATCAAAAAAAAAAAAAAAAAAAAGCAGGAGTTGTTCGTGCAAATTGCTCCCTCCTGCAGGTCTCTCACCCAGCTTTCCTCACTGAGGAGGTCTCTAGCCCCCGCCCCATGACTTCCTATCTCTCTCCCACTTTCCCTGTCTTACACAGTCTGAAAAGTTAAGCACACATGGTAGGAGTCAAAGTGGTTCCCATTTATTAACTGCCTACCAGAGGCCTGGCACCATGATAAGCCCGCTCGTGTATTAGCATAAATTCTCTCATTTAATCCTCACAACAGCTGTAAGAAGTGAGCATTGACACCATGCCCCTTTGATAGATGATGAAACTGAGGCTTAGCAAGGTTAATTAATGTGTCCAAGTTTACTCATCTAGTAAGTGGTAAAGCTGGGATGTGAACCCTGGACTTTCTGGCTTTGTCAAGGTCAAGGTCCCAGCAAGAAACAGACAGCACACTCAAAGGGGATAACTGAAGAGAGTTGAGTAAAGAGATGATAGACCAGAGTGTGAGCTTGGTTAGGCGACTCTTGTCTCCTGGGGACAGTGACACCCAAGGACTGAACATAATGGGAGAGGGCACTCGACAGGACCTGTGTGTGTGGGGCAGGAAAGGCAGCTGCTGCCAACCTGTGACACAGCCAGGAGGCAGCCAGAGGAATCGGTGCCCTGGTGCAGGGTAGAGGGTGACTCTGGGGAGGCAAATGGAGGTCAGGCTTCAAAGGCTGTGCCAGGCACAGGCCGAGCACCCTCCCTAAAAAGAAGGGGGACACTGCCAGGACAGCTCAGGAGACTGGACACGAGGCTGCTCCCTCTCTTGGTGTTCAGGAGAAAATGGGCCAGTCATTCTCTTGGGTGCCCACCCCTGCCCCTGCCCTGGGTAAACAAGAGATTGGCAGGGCTGGTCTGCCTTGTTCCCTCCCCCATCTTTGCCTCTCCTTCTTTCAGGTACCAACTCACTGGTCAATGGCAACCTCCGACTGTACAGCTCTGTGGGTGACCTGAGGCCTGGGCAGTATGGCCAGGATCTGCTCATCCCCCCACCTCCCCCAGGCCCAGCCCCAGGGCCTCCTCAGGACATTTCACAACCTCCAGGGGAGTCGCCACTGCCACCTCCCCCTTCCACAGCACCCCCACCGCCTCCTCTGCTGCTGGAACCCCCGCCCCCACCCAGCATGGCCCCACCTCCACCCCCAGTATTGGAGGCCCTATCCCCACCACACACTCTCTCCTCCCCACCCACACCTACCCCTCCTGACTTCATTCCCCCTGCCCCACCCTTAGCCTTTCTCGCCCCCCCACCGCCTCCTCGGCCAGCCCCAGCACCCCCTGCTCCAGCATCTCCTCACACAGTGGGGACTCGGCTCTTTCCCCCTGGGGGTGTCACCAAGTGGAAATCAGATGTAGCACTAAATGGCAGGCAGGCAGAGGCCACCAGAGCTAGCCCCCCGAGAAGCCCCGCTGAGCCAAAGGGGAGCGCCCTGGGACCCGCCCCAGAGCCCCACCTCACCTTCCCCCGTTCTTTCAAAGTGCCTCCCCCAACCCCAGTCAGGACTTCGTCGATCCCAGTTCAGGAAGCACAAGAGGCTCCCCAAAAGGAAGAGGAGGCCACCAAGAAGGCTCCCAGCCGACTCTCACTGCCTCCCAGCTTCTATATCCGCCCTGCTTCCCAGGTCTACCCAGACAGGGCCCCGGAGCCAAACTGCCCTGGGGAGCTCGGGGCCACAGCACCAGCCAGCCCAAGGCTTGGCCAGTCCCAGTACCAGGCAGATGAACGAGCTAGGACTCCGCCTCCAGCCCCTCCCCTGCCACCTCCTGCACCCCCTCTCCCTCCCCCAGCACCCCCACTTCCCCCAGCTGCACCTCCTTTGCCCTCTGCTGAGAAGGCAGCCCCTTCACCTGCTGGGTTTACAAAAAACCCCAAATCCAGCTCTCCTGCTCTCAAACCCAAACCCACGCTCCCCAGCCCAGAGGACACAGCGTCTTCAGCACCTGTGGACTGGAGGGACCCCAGCCAGATGGAAAAGCTGCGGAGCGAGCTGGCAGCTTATCTCTGTGGCTCCAGGAGAGAAGACCGATTCCTCAGTAACAGGCCAAGCCCAACAGTGGCCTCTCAGAGCAAGGAGGGCAAGAAGGGCCTGAGCCTGCCAGCAAAGGACACTCCCCAAGGTGTTCCTGAAAAGAGTCTCGGTGACAGCAGCCTAACCGAGACAGAGGCTCCCTCTGGCCTGACCCTGCCCCCTGTGGACTACATTCCCCAAGACTCTCCCACTCCCAGTGTGCAGCAGCTCCGGAATGAGCTGGAGGCCCGGCTCTCTTCATCAGCAGAGAAGGAGGCTAAGCCCAGCATAGGGTCTCTGCCCCCTAAGCCTCGGCTAGAAGTGGGAAGAATATTTGAAAATGGGGCTGATAATGACAAAATCTCCAAGCCTGTGGCCAAGAATCTGCGACCTCAATCCACCACCCTGCTGCCAACCACATCACTCCAGCCCAAGGCCACGTTGGGACCAGCCACACCACCCAAGACCACACCTGGGCCAGCCACAGCACCCAAAGCCACACCTGGTCCAGCAGCCACAGCACCCAAGGCCATACCTGGGCCAGTCCCACCACCCAAGACTACATCTGGCCCTGCCATACCATCTACAGCCACAACTCTGCCAACCACCACATCCCAACTAATGGCAGAGAAGGATGAAGGCCCAGCTGGGAAGCCAGAGAAACTAGCATCTCAAGAAGTTTCCATTCCCTCCCAGCCAAGGGCAGAGGGGTCGCCCTCAGAGGCCACCAGGCTGCCCACACAGGGAGCCCGCTCATCTCCAGCCCTCCCACCAAAGGCATCTCTTGGTAGAGAAGAGGTGCCATGTCTCTACAAGCCCCACTGCCGCCAGAGCAGCCCCAGTCATGAGGTTGGCGTAATGATGCCCACACTGGCCAGAGGAGAGGCTGCAGGGCCAGAGGAGCCCGTGGAGGTGAAGGAGCCCCTGGGACTGCCAGCCAAGCCCCCTGCCTCAGCCCAGCCCACTGATGACCTCCTCAGGCACCCAGTGACTGGGGAGATAGTGGAGCGGGGCTCGCCGATGGCCCTGCTCCTGGCGGCCAGGCAGAGGGCGCAGAGGGGGAGGCCTGGAGGGGCTGCCCTGGGCCGGTCCTCTCTACCAGGGAGTCTCCTTGACCACAGCCACCAAGCCGAGGCGGGCTCTGACAGCATCCTTCACAACCAGGGCAGGCCCAACTCCTTCACTGTGGTACCCAAGTTACCGAAGGAGGCTGCGAAGAGCTCCCCGCTGACGACCGAAATACCCATTACATGGGGGCCACAGCTGGGAAGAGACACAGAGGGCACACAGCCAAGCCGCAGACACAACTGGACAAAGACGGAGCCCCAGACCCCTGTGGCCTGGGAAAAAGCAGCTCCCTCCAACCGCCCCCAGGGCCGCCCGCTGCCCAAGTCCTTCTCCTCCCCACCTTCTCCATCGTACAAGAGGGAGGAGGAGGAGGAGGAGGAGAAAGAGTTCAGCTTCGAGGTCATCCCACCGCCGCCAGAGTTCAGCAATGACGCTGAGCCCCCGGCGCCGGCCCTCCAGTATCTGAGCCGCCGGGGCTGCCCTCCCCAGAACAACTTCTCAGACCTGGGACAGCCCCGGGACGCCGGCCCCTCTGTGCCCCCGGCTCGCGGCTTCTCGCGCTTTCCCGCGGGCGCGCGCTACAGCGGGGCGGGCGGCCTGGACCGCTTCTCCGGAGCCGGCCGCTCGCTCATCAAGAAGCGCCTGTACGTCGGGGAGCCGCATCGCGACACAGGGCTGTCCCGCGGCGGCACCGCTCGCAGCCTGAGTTCCCCCAACTGCTTCGGGCCACAGCCTGGAGGCCCGGAAATGCGGCGCGTGAACTCGGCGGGCCGCGCGCCCCCCGGAGGCCTGCACGCGCCGAGGCTGTCCCTGGAGGGCGCCGCCCGGGGCGCCTCGGAGGCCAAGCACAAAGCGTCGGGTGGCGCCGACTACGGCTTCGCCCCAGCTGCCGGCAGGTGAGCTGCGGGCCCGGCTGGTGCGGGGAGCCGCGAGGGGTCGGGGGGAGGCACCCAGGCGAGGAGGACCTTGAAAGCGTGGCCATCGGTCAAGAGAAAACATTTGGTTTTCTCCCCTCGGCCTTGCAGGTGGAACGGGGGAGGGAGGCCTACTTACCGGGAGAGGGCGCTGTTGGCGCCTCCCTTGTCTTTCTCCGCTGGCTCCTCTGGTCTCTTTCCCACCCGCTAGACCTCAGCGGTCAGTCTAGGGGTGGGTTCGGGAGAGATCTGAGTGGTCCTTGGGCAGAGGGATTTCCCAACACAGAGTTAGATCCAGACACAGGCCAGGAGTGAAAGTTCTGAGTGAAAAAGCGTGTTAGACATGTTCTTCCGCCAGCAGAACCCAGACCGGAAGGGGAGCCCTGTTTGTGATAGTCTGCGGTCCCTCCCCGGGGTCGATAAACCCAGGGCTTGTGGGGGCAAATAGAGAAGTACAAGCGGCATGTTTTCCTCTCGGTGCCTGGGGGAGACGGGAGGCGTGTTGGCTAACCAGCTGCAGATATTAACCTCGCGTCTCTTGCTCTCCCCCAGATCTTCCCACGCCACCACCCTCTATGGAAGCCCCATCAACACGTTCACCGTGAGGCCTGGGACCCGCCATCCCATCTCCTATGCCTGCTCAGGGGCCCATCGGAAAGCCGCCTCCTGAGCCACGGGTTCTCTCAGCTCTACTCCAACAAACTGTCTTTAAGTGTCTTTAAGGATCTGAGCACTTGTTTCTTGGTGGGGGTGGTGGGAAGTACACAGCAGGTGTTAGGCGACCTGACTCAGACACAGACGAGTCGTTGATCCCCAAAGACCGACGATGAGAAGCAGTGGCCCAGGAAGATCAAGAGTGGGCTTCTGTTTCCCAAAGTGCTGGTGCGGCTGTGGACTGTTACACATGGGGGTGGGAGGGGAAGGAGGGTAGAGAGGAGGAACCGTTCAGGACCTAGGCGCTGAGCTTCTGCCCTCTGGTACTGTCTGCTTTAGCAAGAGTTATTTAGAAGTTTTACAAGCACGGCCTACTGAGCAGGTTCTGAAAGCAAGGGGTGTGGCCCTGACTCTGAACTGGAATCATGGAGATAGCTGAGATTGCCTGTCAGGCCCAGTCCTGTCCTAGTGGGCATGGAGGGCACCACAGGGAGATCTTTAGCCTCCGTCACCTGCCATCCCAAGCAACAGGTGACACCTGGGGTGCCCAGCCACATTGAGATGGGACCAGGAATGTGTATGTATAACACGCGGAGAAGTACCATGTGTGTGGTGGGGAGAGAAGTTCCCACATGTGGAATGGAAGCCCTTTGCAGGGAGATGGATGGTTCATTTCTCTTTGCCCCTGGCCCTTAGCTATAGGGAGGCCTAGAGAGAGGAGACTTGGGAAGTTTAGGATGGGAAACAGGGTTGAACCATGCTTTGCTATTCAGACCTGTGCAGGACTGATTTTGGAGATTGGGCCCAAGGAGCCATGAGTCTTAGGCTTGACTCTAGGGGCTTTACATGGCTGGGTCTCATATGGGATTTGGAGGGGGCATTTTTCCTAACACTGATACTACAAGTCACCAATACTATTGATGCTTTAAGATGCTAGAAAGCCTTGGAGAGTGGAGGCAGCCGAGATGGGAACAGAAGTCTGAAGAAGCTTATTGCTGATGGGGAATGTGTTTGGGAAAGTCAAGAGTGGTAGGATTGGTTGGCTGGGCACGGTGGCTCACACCTGTAATCCCAGTACTTTGGGAGGCCAAGGCTGGTGGATCACTTGAGGTCAGGAGTTCAAGACCATCCTGGCCAAATGGTGAAACCCCATCTCTACTAAAAATACGAAAAAAAAAAAAAAAAAAAGGGATGCTAGAATTGGGCCAGTTAAAAGCAGGGAAGACCTGGCTGGGAACAGTGGCTCAGGCTTGTAATCCCCGCACTTTGGGAGGCTGAGGCAGGTGGATCACAAGGTCAAGAGAGTGAGACCATCCTGGCCAACATGGTGAAACTCTGTCTCTACTAAAAATACAAAAATTAGCTGGGCGTGGTGGTGTGCACCTGTAGTCTCAGCTACTTGGGAGGCTGAGGCAGGAGAATTGCTTGAATCTGAGAGGTGGAGGTTGCAGTGAGCCGAGATGGTGCCACTGCACTCCACCCTGGCAACAGAGCGAGACTGTTTCAAAAAAAAAAAGAGCAGGGGAGACCTGTCAGTAGGGTGATCATGTGTCCGTTGCCTGGGCAGCCCAGGTTTATGCCTATTTTCCAGTGAATTAGGCCCCTTCCACTTTTCAAGAGTCCCAGTGTGGATGATATATGATCACCAAACATGTCAGGAAACAATATTCCTTGGACTTTTCCCTGTCTTCAGGTCCTGGTGGGCCAAATTCCTGGGACCAGGACAAGGTAGGCTGCCTCAGTAAAAAGAAAGGACTGGAGGGTGGCCCATTTCAGAGGAGTAGGCTGGTGGGGGCCAGCCAGAGAGTAACCCACTTTGGGGGAAGATGTTGGACCTTTATTATTTGTGGTCTAGCCGAGGCACTGCATTGTCAGGACAGCAGGTGAGCCACTTTAGGGAAGACAGTGCAGGGTGGGCAGGCGCCCAGATGACCAAGGCCAGCCATCCTGATGGAGTAGGGTCTGGTTATCTGTGTTCAAGAAGCAAATTTCATCCCAGACCCAGCACTAGCTCTCTCTCTATGTATGTATTTTCCCTGTACAATGTTTTATAAAAAGAGATCATTAATTTATCTGCTATGTTAAGGCTTGAGGGGTAGGGCGTGGACTCTCAGCTGTATATTGCTCTGGGGTGGGCAGGGAAGGGCTGAGTCTCACTTGGCTTGGAAAATAAACAGGCCAGTTTGGACTGGCCTCCAGCTCTGTGACTGTGGATTAATGACTCGGAACTGCTGGGGTGTGATGAGGCTGGGAGAGCGCAGCTGGGCAAGGCTGAGCCCAGGGTGCTGGCAGAACTGGTGAGCCGTTTTGCTAGGCCCAGCTTTCTCTTCTGACCCTCAGGTTTTTTCCTTCTCCAGACCCCTCAAGGGGAAGGAACAGAGCTAAATGTCATAATAAACTTAGTCTCTTTGACTCTGTTCTGCAAAACAGGTGTCATAATACTACCTCCCTCATAAAGCTGTTGTGAAGATTAGACAGTTGTGCATTTGTCTAACAAAAGGATTTGGGTAACTACTGGATACAAGACACTATGCTTAGCATGGATAGACCACGGTCAACTTGCCCACATGACTCCTGTTCATGGCAAGCTAATTGTCTAATGGAGGAGAGAGAGGATTTAAAAAGAGCACACAAGGCGGGCGCGGTGGCTCACGCCTGTAATCCCAGCACTTTGGGAGGCCGAGGCTGGTGGATCACGAGGCCAAGAGATCGAGACCATCCTGATCAACGTGGTGAAACCCTGTCTCTACTAAAAATACAAAACATTAGCTGGGCATGGTGG